GGGGGGCGTCTACTCAACTCTGGGGGGGGTTACACTATTTCCCTACTTTCTTTATATATTCCCCGACTCAATCCTCTGGCGGCGCAGCATCCATCATCGTAACTATTTCTCTTGTATCCCTCCTCTGCTCATTTAATTCCTACAAAACTCTTTTCTTTTCTTCTTACTCCTGATTCCTACGTGTTAACTACTCATGATGCCTTTCTAANGACTTGACATATAATCCTCAAATTCATTATCAGANTTTAGCCCCCCCTCGTCTCCTCTAACTCCTCCTTCTATGTGCTAGATACTTCATAACCTCGCCTCCTATCATGGGGCCTCGTCCGCCCCCCCCCCACCCCACCCCTAGTCACCAGGCTCAATGTCTATACCAGTTGCTCCTTCATTCTATTCACATCCATTTTCCTTGTGTGCCATTACCTAACACGCACTATATTCAACCTTCGAGAAGCCTGGCACAGCACCCTTTCGTCGCCTCTTTCGCCTATGTCCTCTTCTTCTCTTGATTGCCCCTGGCTCACCCCTACATCACATGTACTCAATCATACCCAAGTTTATGGCGGTTTTCAGATTGTCTCATCTTCTCGAAGCTGTATCTCAATTATCCTCTCCTTTCCGAGGACTGACTCTATTGTCAGTTCAGGTGACGGGCTTAATCTTGGCCGGAGGTCAGAGGTCGTCACGTGGCCATATAGGGCATGTTTATGGGGCCTCTCGGTTTCGCTCACCAGGTCTTTTTTTTGAGTGGATCACTTTGGCAATATGGTTAGGGGTCTCTTATTAGCACGCTTCTCAAGTGTCACAGCTCGAATCGCCCCTAGTGACACGCTCTAGGCCGCAGTCTCCTGAGGCCAGGTCGGTTTTCCCTGCACGTTAAATCCTCCACTTCCGCAACTTTATCCCGCACCTGCCCCGTCTTGGGTCGGCGTTATTGGCGCTCTCGTCACACTCTCAGTCATCCTCAATTCGTCGCCGTAGAGCTCCTTCACTGCGCAGGAATCCTCTACCGGCCCTTTAACGTCTTGGAAATGATGAGCGCGTTCCTATCTCTGTCCGCTCGCCTCGTCTTTTGCTAGCGCATTCCCCCCTTCTCCCTCATGTACGTGAGGACGCCTCCCGCGCCATCGCCCCTCGATGACTACTGCGGCCCTCCTCTGTCGCCCTTGTTCGCTCGAAATTCACCCATATACACAAAACTACTATCACTGCTATGTTCAGTAACGTACAAATGTTCGTCACGTCGTGCCATGACCGAACCATATCGCGAACACTGCTCGGTGCTGTGCCGAGCGGCCCGCGCTAGGCTTGCAAGCAGGCTACACCACTGGTGGCCATCGCCCCAAAACGCAGGTAGGGACCAAGTATTGGGACAGCTAGTGTTGTCATGTCTTGTTCCTCCAGTCCAGCGAGGCCTACTGCCAAAGCGATCCACTCGCACCTGTGCTCTTCTCACTCGGCATGCCAGTGTTCCTGGAGACGTTGCAAGAGCGCTTTGGGACGGTCCACCAGGTCATGGCATACCTGGCCGGTGTAGTGAGTCTGTCAAAGAGTGGCATCGACACGGTGGGTGTGGCAGCCGAGGTCGCGCGACTAGCGGTGCCAAGACTGCTGCTCAATCGGACAAGAGCTCGTGTACGCCACTGGTGAACATCGGGCCTCGCGCGCGGAGCTGCTGGGCAACGCACTCGGCAGTGCGACGTTCCGTTGGGCCTTCGGGATGGCCATGATCAAGCGCGTTGAGCGCGTCCTGCCAGCCCTGCGCGAGCAACCCAAACAGTTAGCGTGGCTTATCCTGTCGCGGTGCCTGGCTGGGGGGAATACGCGTCTCCTGCGGCTGGACACAGCGGACCTTGTCAGTAACAGCGTGAACTGATCTACAAGCGCCAGGACCGCGGTCTTGCACGCGCTTTACCTTACTTTCGGCGCAGTTCTATCTCCCTTATCTCCGATCCCCCGGTGTTTGCACTCCTGTTGCGGTGCGGCGGCCTGGGCCTCAGGGGCCACTCGTTTGTGGCACCATCGGCCCGTCAAGCAATGTGTTCGAGAGCAGATTATGAACTGGTTCGCCGCAAGTTTATCCGTGGAAAGAAACTGCCATGACGGATAATGCCACGGACAGATACTGGGTCACGCCGGCGTGCACGACGTGCTGTATAAGTATGTCCAGCGGAGTGCACACGTCGAGGTAGAGCGCGAGGTACTCATCAAGCCTGGCCGTCAAGAACGGAGCGGCATGCTGGTGCGGGGACTGCAAGCAGCCCTGGGCGCGACATGCACTACTACCTGTTCATCCGAGAAATGGCAGAATCCAACAAGCGGCGGAGCAAGTAGAACAAGGTGTCGCTAATTCGGACCAGCCGGTCGCAAGAGTATACATGGAAACGAAAGTCGTTAGAGAAACAGGCACGGCACATACAGCACGCGAATATACCAATGCTCACGAGGGGCCTGGCAAGCACGGCCAATGCGCGACGAGCGGTGCTGTGGCGAAAGATCTCGAGCGTGTTGGAGAGCGGCGTTGAGAGAAGGTGCACAAAGACGCGCTTGCCACTACATGCGGCAATAGGGTTGTCAATGTCGGATATGCGGTCAAAGTGCTTCCTTATGTCTTCTCTTTTCTTTTGGCGCGGGATCACTGAGGTAGACCGCGCGCAAGTGCATAGGCGGCTCTGAGTCGAGCTGGTACGGTGGCGAGCCAGGCGGTAAGAGAATGAGTTAGGGCTGTTAGCTCGCTTGCTCGAATGGCACGTGCGCATACTGGAGCTGCCTGCTAGGATGTATACACTCCACCAGGTCGCAGCCAGTGCACGTGGCATTTCGCGTGAATGGCGATAGGACCGCACCGTAACGTCAAGATCAGTCGGTCACGTCAGGAAAGGCTCAATTACGTGCTTGAAGCTGAAAGTTGAAGTACCAGATTCTGTCAAACCTATGAGGTGACGGCCTAATGGCATAATACACTCCACCAGGTCGCAGCCAGTGCACGTGGCATTTCGCGTGAATGGCGATAGGACCGCACCGTAACGTCAAGATCAGTCGGTCACGTCAGGAAAGGCTCAATTACGTGCTTGAAGCTGAAAGTTGAAGTACCAGATTCTGTCAAACCTATGAGGTGACGGCCTAATGGCATAATACACTCCACCAGGTCGCAGCCAGTGCACGTGGCATTTCGCGTGAATGGCGATAGGACCGCACCGTAACGTCAAGATCAGTCGGTCACGTCAGGAAAGGCTCAATTACGTGCTTGAAGCTGAAAGTTGAAGTACCAGATTCTGTCAAACCTATGAGGTGACGGCCTAATGGCATAATACACTCCACCAGGTCGCAGCCAGTGCACGTGGCATTTCGCGTGAATGGCGATAGGACCGCACCGTAACGTCAAGATCAGTCGGTCACGTCAGGAAAGGCTCAATTACGTGCTTGAAGCTGAAAGTTGAAGTACCAGATTCTGTCAAACCTATGAGGTGACGGCCTAATGGCATAAATCGGCACTAGAGTGTCTTCCAAACGTCGCCTCAATGCCTCACACCACTGCGTTTGGGAGTATCATTTATTTTGTTTCTGGACGTCGTTGGTTCTGCACGCTCGACAGGAGACACAGAGATGTATGGGAGGCGTTTGGCCGGGAAAAGGTGTCCAGCAAAAGACAGTATGTTGACTGGGTAGACGAGGCCGATCCCGATAATCCAAAAAACTGGACTTTTTCATATAAGTGTTTTGTCTCATTTTTGGTCTGTGTAATGACGGTGTTCGTCTATCTTGGCAGCAGCATTGTCGTGCCTGGCATACCAGAATTTAGCAAAGAGTTTCGTATATCGCCAACTGTTGCTTCCTTGAGCATTTCTTTATTTGTATGGGGATATGGCCTAGGGCCTATGGTGCTGTCGCCGTTGACTGAGGTAGCACGTATTGGGCGCAATTGGCCCTACGTAATCAGTATTGGACTTTTCGTGATCATGCAGATACCCACGGCACTGTGCAACAATGTTGCTGGTTTCATGGTGCTGAGATTCATTGCTGGATTTCTAGGCAGCCCTGTCCTTGCGACGGGAGGAGCCACCATGGCAGACTTGTGGAATTTAGATGGCGGATTCATGAATGGCATTGCATTCTGGTCGTATGCTGCGTGTGCTGGACCAGGCATGGGTCCATTGCTCTCGGGATTTGCGGTGCAAGAGAAAGGCTGGCATTGGATTGTCTGGCCGCTTCTATGCGGGACGGGGCTTACATGGATTTTTGTCTTCTTTCTTATGCCTGAGACCTATGGTGATACCATTTTGACGCGTCGAGCCATCGAGTTACGGCATATCTCAGGGAATGAGCTGCTCCGTTCACGAGCAGAAGAGAGAGATACTCAAGTATCGCTAAGTCAACTTGCGTACAGGACCTTGTACCGCCCTCTTCGAATGACATGTACGGAGCCTGTTTTATTTTTTAGCGACTTGTACATTGCGTATGTCTACGGAATTACCTACTGCTTGTATGTATCACATGTGTACTCATGAAAGTTTTGAAGCGTTTCCATTGGTATGCAGATTTGCTCTGACTAGTAGACATTCCAAGGTCGCCACCACTTTACACTGGGAGAATCAAGCAGTGCTTACATCACCGGCTGGATTGTTTGTGCTATTGCACTGGTGCTGTACTGCATTTACAACCAATGGCTTGTATTGCCGTGGTTCCGTTCAGGGAAGTGGAAACCGGAATTTAGAATGCACGCTTGCTTCATCGGAGGGATCTTGTTTCCTGTTTCTTTGTTTTGGGTATGTTGACGGTAGAGATTGACCGTCAGTTTGGATGGACTTCCTTTGAAAGTGTGCCACCCTACGCTTCATTGGCTGCTTATGGTGTCTTTCAATGTGCCGTATTTTTGTTATTTCAAGGATTCTTGGGGTATCTCGGAGAGGTGTACCCTGTCTACACTGCTTCAGCTTATGCTAGCAATGGTCTGTTTCGCGCATTGGCAGGTGGCGCATTCCCGTTATTTTCGACACAAATGTTCAACCGACTGACGATCCAAGGCGGTTGCAGTCTTCTTGGTGGATTGGCTATTCTTTTGATACCCGTGACAGTCACGTTTTATATGTGCGGAGACAGGTTGCGCAAAAAATCAAAAATGGCTGGGATGAGCAGCGTGGAAGAGCGAAATGGAAGCAGTAGCAATTGAGCCTGAGAAAGGCACTTGGTATCGTGTGAATGCAAGACTCTCGAGCGTTCTGTGTAGAAATCGTCAATGAAACAATCCTGGATGGGTCTGAATGCTCCTCTCCCATTCTCACTGTCAGACTGGTTAGCCGGTATTTGTTTTGGAGGATTATTCCAATGTATGCGTTGTTCTCTCGCGTCGATTGCCATTGCTATAGTTTTGATTGCGAATCGAGACAGTGTTCTCTTTAAGCTTGATATCACTCATTTCGTGATTCTTATGCATTGATCATGCACCAGGCAAGTTATATACTAGGTCGTAATTTCAGATTACAAGAGAGTTGAAGTTTACAAGTTGGATTGTGCAATGCTTTTTTTTTTCTTTCTAGCTCTTTCTGTGCATCTGATTGGGAAGATACGTGGTTGTCAAATTATAGCTTGAAGTCGATCCTTTTGCGTGCGAGAGACGTCTCGAAGATTATTTTGTATGGTTGGTTTGTTGAGACGCTACTACACACTATTATATCCCACGATTTAGCAAGTGTTTAGACGTACGTAGGTGGGTATGTATATGCCTGTATGCCTATACATCTTTCTGTTGGTCTTCCAGTTTGCGTGTGAGAATTTCTTTCCCACCGCTTTCCTCTTTCACTTCATTCTCAGTAATTTTGCCCCTTTCGTCCCCTCCTCTCCACTGTGTCGATGTCTCTCTACTCCTCTCCTCCCTCCTCCCGATCCACCGATCTCTTTACCCCTCCTCATGTTCTTCCACCTTTTTCTTCATACTCCTTCCGTTCCCCTTGTCTATCCCTTCCTCCCCCCTCTTCTCCTTTTCCCCACCTCTTCCACCATTCCTCTGCTCCTTTTCTCTCTTCTTGCCCCTCGTTCTTCCTTTCCCTTTGCTATTCTCTCCTTTTTCCTCTCCTTACCCTTCTACTACTTCCTTCTTTTTCTCCTTATCCCTGCCCCCTGCTTTGTCTCCGTTTTTTCCGTTCTGTCCCCGTCTCTCCGTCACTCTGTATCTGTGTATCACCGTCTCCCTCTCTGTTCATGCGCCCTATTTCCCTGTGTCCTTCCGTCGAATATCCTTTGTTCCCTTTCTACTTCTCCTTCCTCCTGTCTTGTCTCCATGTTTTCCCGCCTCTTCCTATTTCCCCTCTTTCGTTTTCTCTGCGCCGGAGTCTACCCCTTCCTCAGTCGTACGCTGTCCTATCATCGTCGCCTGCCATATGCTTCAATTCATATTCCCTGACTTTCTTCTTATCGTCCCTTACGCTCTTGTCTGTATAGAGGTTTGCTCATCTCTCGGCCTCTCGGCTTTTTTTTTTATCTTTTTACACTGTCCTCCTCCATACCGCACTACTTCATTATCCTACACCCCCTCATTCACTCCAATAATGCTAGTTGTCTTGTACTGATGCTGCGCCTTCCCCAAGTATGATCCACTCAGCCCAAATCTATCTTGTCGTCAAACATCCCTTCAAGCAGTCTTGTGGTTATAGGCGAGGAACATGTCAAACGTATCCTCTATCACGTTAAACTATTCCTACTGGGCATATAGCCTGGCTCATTCATCTTGTGCCATATTCCTGTCCCATTCCTGTCCTATTCTTGCCCCCACAATCTTCCCTGTTCAATTCCGGTCTTATGCTCAAATCCCCGCACAAGCCAGGAACGCTCCAATGCGCTCAATGGTCGCATTCACATTGTTTGGTTTGCTGAAAAGTCGTCCGGAATTGGCAATGGTTCTTTCCATGTGCACGTGCCTTTTATGGAGGTCCTATTTTGGGACCCTGTGCCTTTCTATTTGAGCGCGGAGTCTGTGCTCAGAGGCATAGTTTCTTGCATCTCCAAAAGCGTTTGCATGCTGGAGAGAGAGAGAGAGAGAGAGAGCGTAAAAGACAGGGCCTGATTGGCTGTGAGAAGGTGGAAACCGTGTGTGATGCTTTCATTGGGCATGATCGTGTGGTCAGGCACAGTGTGGTGCTAGAAGGCCACAGTACGCACGAGCTTGTTACATGAAACTTGCGAAAGTTTGAGCACTGCCAGGCCAATCACGTTTACACCTAATTCACATTGCTCGCACTGAAAAAAGTCTTGACGCATGATGCTTTGTCTGCGTATAAAAAAAACTGACTCTGTCTAGATACCCTTGTTCGACAGAGATCTTGATTGTCCACTGCGTCTCACTACGTGCTGGACATGCAGTTTTACGCAAACATACTGGCAACGGTACTGGCACTGGCTACGGCCGCTGCGGCAGCACCTGTGAGCTCATCGATACCAACGCCCATTACACGGGGCCCAGTCGTCCCGCCTGAAACATTCACGGGCTTCCACCCATACAATTCTCACTTTTATTCAACGCAGACGTTCTTGAGCTATTCTACGGCCCAGACTAGTCTCAAAAGCTCGGCTCATACTTCTGCCACCCATTCATAACGACATTGTTGACTCCCACGTCCTAGGCGTTTCCTGCGATGGTGCGCGAATATCCTATACCAAGTCGCATCCGTGCGCATCATGACGAATGTTGGCTCGATCTGCATGTATTCTCGTGATTCTGTACAATAGCTGGCTGTGTTGCACACGTAGTCAAAAGTGCTGTTCTCTGTGTTTCGAGTCCCTTGGCGTATGTGGCTGGCTCGTTTGCTTCCATCAAATTTCTCTTCTTACCCTTTTCCTTCTTTCTCCTTCTCCACTTTTCCTTTTCTATTTCCTTTCCCCACATGTCTTGGCACCTCGCCTATTTCCCTAGCCCTCCTTGGTCTTTCATGCTTTTTGTTCCTTTTTGATTCGATCGTGTTACCCTTTGTATCTTTCACTCTTCCGATCACTTCGCATCGCTCTTCCTTCCTTCTTCTTCCTCCTCCTCCCTCTTGTGCCCTGCATTTCATACTTCCTCTCTTCATCTCCATGGCTAGGTTTCCTCTCTACTTTTCCTTACCTTGAAATCTCTGCCCTTGTCCCTATCTGTTTCTCGTTCAATGTCTCTTCTCATCATACGTTCCATGTCTCTTTCACCACGGCGCGCATGTCCTCGTCTGCCTCCTGTACTCGTCCTTGCTTCTCCCCTCTGTTCGTCCACTCCCTACTAGTCTCCCCATCCGTCCGCCCTGGCCCCGTGTCGATTCCCCTCTAGCTTGTCTACCTTGTTTCCCCTTCTCCACTTCTTCTTCCCTCCCCTCTACCTTTGTACTCGCTTATTTCTCTCCGCCTCGCTTCTTCCGCTTCTCATTTCATTCACTGATTCCTACTTCTTTATAGCTCCTCTACATCTGCAAGACCCATCCATTTCCCGTTTCCTTTCACCATCCTGATCGACTTGACGTGCATACCCGTCGCATTCTTCGACTCCCATCCATCATGTTCCGTACCGTTTTCGAGTACATATGTCAACTTGACATCCTTTCCTTCCCGCGTCGCCGCAAACTCGTGGTCCCCGTTGTATCCGCACATTCCCACAACCAGCGCCGGCGCCTTCTTCGAGCCATCCACTGTGCTTCCAAGAACACATTCATCTGGGGAATGGTCCAGCTCCAACACTCCATACCGCTTCTCGCTTCCCTTCTTTCCCTTCTTGCAGTCCAAGAACTTGTACTTCAGGTCGTTGTTGACCTCGTCTTGTTTCTTCACGAACTTAGCACCGTACATCACGCCCTCCTCCTTCACTCCGTATGTGTTCTCCCCGTCATGCAGCACAAGCGTGCCCCGGTACATTGGCTTGCACACTTCTTCGGCTTCCTGGTCGCCGATATCCCTCTGTGTTACCGGCGAGGCCATCGACATCGCCATCATCGCTGCCATCATGCTTG